TCCAAAAATTTAAAGTTTTCGGAATTTTTGAAAATCTTTCTTTAAAAATCCAGAAAAAAGAGATTTCCAAAAGCATGGAATTACTTTAAAGAAGTTCATTTCAAAAGATTTGAAAAAAAACGTTTTTCATCTGAATTCCCCCAACTTTGCCTCGCAGAACACCGCTAATCGTATGTTGTTTTTTAACACCTCGCACTTCTGTAAAATTTGCGCACCCCTCTTCGTACATGTTCAAATTCCTAACGGTAGTTTAACAAGTGATTTAATTTTCAGTAGATTTCAACAAGTATTTCATTTCTGTAACTCATTGTCAAAATGAGTTAACATTTCTTCCTCTTATTCGTTTGCCAAAAATATCCCTAGAAAAACTGAGGCCATAATCACTTATATAATGAGTGCATCATTAACTAATACTGTTAAGAATCAATAATTATTGAGCAAAAAGTGAATGTACATACAATCATGTATGATAATAAAACTCACATATAATTAAGAGATACATGAAATGAATATTGTAAACAGGAATAGTAAATACAAATAGGGCCATACTAATACATAATAATAAAACAGGTATTAGCAACATAATAGTAATAGCAATAATGATAACAATTCAGAAATATTAATAAGCAACAATGCATCATAAAATAACAATACCCGGGCTGCAATGCACCAGGCATGCGATCATGCGTTTCTGCGCCAATCTTACAGACCATGAACAGCGGAATGTTAACACTTAGATTCATACTAGCCGTGTTTTGGCCTTTCACCAAATACAGGGGAAAAGATGTTGACCGGGATGATGGTGTTGCATTATGGGACCACGCACCTTCAGAGTACATGATTATTAATTTTTTGAATGAAGCCCGATCGTTTTTCTGGTGAATACCCGTTCATTGAAAAAGTGCGAATTTGAAGGAAGTCAGAAGAGGATTATTAAATCTGCAAAATGCACTCGTTTTTGAGTTGGCGATAAAATTGAGTATTTGTCATATTTGCGTGAAGGGAACTGCACCCCCAAACTGACTTAAGACCATACGTGGATATATTGCAAAGTTCCAGCTTCGCAACTTGTCTGATATGCGAAACGGCCACTTCTCTACCAATATCTTTGAAATGTCCTAAGTCGTGATGCAAATGAAATTCGAAACTCAGTTTAGGTATACGATTTCCAATATGAATGATAAATACTACAACAAAATTTTAGCTGCTGTTTTCTTATTCGTTTTTATGTTAGCATAGTGCCAACTGCGAACTTTGACATGACCACACTCGCGGTATTTACTTGTGCAATTGCTAAATTTGAAACGCTTAGCTCGTACACACACAGAGAATATCCCTGCACAATTTTAGCCTTCTACCGTGTCTGGTTCACGAAATCGTTTCCGTGAAAGACATTTGCATATTTTTTCGAGGGTTCGTATGTGAGATCTAGGGGCATATGAGCGAAGATTTTAAAACGGGAAGGTGGCACATGAGGTAGGAATATGACCACAATATTTCAACCGCCCAGCTTCCCTGGTTGCTAAGATGAAAGTGGGTGACAAAGTTTACTTGCTTCCGAACACACACACAGACGACTTCTCGACGGTATGCGTTTTTGTTCGCTGTAGCAGCGCTATAGCGCCACACAGTAAAAACGCACGAAAAATGACACAAATCGGTGATGTTCAGCAAAACTAGCAAGGATTTATTAAAAATAATAAATAATATAACATTGCCGGCAAAAATTACTGTTGGTAATGAATAAAAAGCGTCAACACTACAGTGTTAAATTGGTCATAATGTATCGTTTAAATTCATTTTCGTTTAATTATATTACAAAAAGCCATCATTCTGCGTGTATTACTGGGCAGCACCCAAGGTCACAGCTACGTTTTCTTGTTAAAGCATTAATGGGGACAGGTAAATTCTGAACACATCGGCAACGTAAATTTGTGGTCGACTGACCTTTACAAAAAACTTTCGGGGTTAAATTCGGAGAAACTGTGTTTTTATCAAAGCGGGGGAAATGGGGCAAAAGGAAGGGGAAAACGCCGGCCTTTTCAAAAAAAAAGGTTTGAAACAGAAAATTATTACACCAGATCACCTTGTTTTTTGCCCCAGATCGCCAATGATTTCACCTTTTGACTGCGGTAAAATTGTGTTTTAAAGCATTTTTGTACGATTCTCTGAAACAAAT